ACACACTTTGTTCTTGATAGAACAATGTGTTTTGAACAAATTCTTGCATTGCCATTCGTCTTTGGATGCTAGTAACATAAGTGTGCAACACAAAATTTACTCCTTCATTATATTCTTCCTCTTCAAACTACACATCGATATATTCATCGTTCTCAACTGCAGGATCTTCTATTTCTTCATCTTCCTCCCTTTCTTCTACAACAACAACGACTCTCCTTGTCGAAAAAACATTCAATTTGTGGTATCTTCCGTTACAATGATAACATGTGTCTATAGTGGGTCTAGCATATGAATTATTCCAACTCTGAATTGGTGCTTTACCTTGCTGCACACTGCTAGAGCTGCTACTCCCTTTATTGCTAGGATTGGAATCCTGGGGTGTTACATTTTTTTCCTTGCCACCTGCTGATTCAAAGTCACTTTAGGGCGAGTAACTTCTAATAGATGAAAATTTTCGAGGGGATTTCTCCATCAATTATGCCTTCAAAGCTAAACTGTATGCCTCAACTTTAGTACATAAAGTTTGCAAACCCATCTTTTCCTGCAAGAATCCCTTTAGGCCACGAATGTATCGAGCCACTATCCGACTCTTTGATTCTCCCAGTTCATTGCACTCAGAAAAATGTAGGAACTCTGCTGTGTATTCAGTCATAGTTCTCTTGCCTTGAACATACTCTATGTATATCTTATAAAGAATTTTTTCATAATCCTCTGGTTAAAATTGCTCCAACATCAATTGTTTCATTCTTCGTCGTGTTCTGACTGGGCCATTCCTTTGCCTCTCCTTTACAACATTCATCAATACTCTGATCACCACTGGACAAAAATATTCAGTTTCTTTTAGAGTCTCATCAAGCTCCCTTTCACTCTGCATCATCACCAAGAAACTAGATTTATTTCCTCCTGGATTCTTACAAAAGTGCTAAACAGGAGCCATGACAATTTTATGTGTGTCCCATGTAAACATCATCACATTATCCCGTCCTCGATAAGTGATATCTTTATCAAACTGCCAAGGTCTACCAAATAAAATATGACAAACATTCATATCAAGAACATCACAAAGTACCCATTCTCTGTAATGTTTTCTGATTGAGATAGGAACTCTATAGGCTAGTGTTACTTGAACTTGTGAGGCCTTGCTTACCTAACCGAATGTGTATCGCTTCTCATGGGGTTCTGTGGATAACTTCAAATAATTTATCAATTTATGCGACACCAGATTCTCCGTGCTGCCATTATCCACAATCAGATTACACACTTTGTTCTTGATAGAACAATGTGTTTTAAACAAATTCTTGCATTTCCATTCGTCTTTGGATGCTAGTAACATACTGCGCAACACAAAATTTACCCCTCATTAGATTCTTCCTCTTCAAACTCAACATCGGCATATTCATCATTCTCAATTGCAGGATCTTTTCTTTCTTCATCTTCCTCCCTTTCTTCCACAACAACAGCGACTATCCTTGTCGAAAAAACATTTAATTTGTGGCCTCTTCCGTTACAATGATAACATGTGCCTGCTGCACACCGCTAGAGCTGCTAGTCCCTTTATTCCCAGGGTTGGAATCCCGGGATGTTGAACTCTTTTCCTTGCCACCTGCTGATTCAAAGTTACTTTAAGGTGAGTACCTTCTAATAGATGAAAAATTTCGAGGGTGAGTACCTTCAAAGCTAAACTGGATGCCTTAGCTTTGGTCCATAAAGTCTGCAAACCCATCTTTTCCCGCAAGGATCCCTTTAGGCCAGGGATGTATCGAGCCACTATCTGACTCTCTGATTCTCCCAGTTCACTGCGCTCAGAAAAATGTAGGAACTCCGCTGTGTATTCAGTTACAGTTTCTTGCACTGAACACACTCGATGTACATCTTATAAAGAATTTGTTCATAACCCTCTGGTTAAATTTGCTCCATCATCAATTATTTCATTCTTCGTCATGTTCTTACTGGCCCCTTCCTTTGCCCCTGCCTATGAACAACAAGTTTATCCCACCAGACAGCTGCAATACTTTTAAGCCTGATCGCATCCATCTTAACTTGCTTGTTCTCAAGGACACCCATAACGTCGAAGAATATGCCGACATCGACCTGCCAATCAAGAAACTCGTCCACTCTTATCGTTTCACATAACAATGGAATATCAGCCTTCACTCGGTAGTCATGGTTGTTCTGTCGATTCCCACGATTAACTTCTTTCTCGTAAGGTTCTTCTTCACCAGAAATCGAATCTTCAACACGGTTGTTTCCACCCCGTGGAACCCTAATCAGTTCCTTTCTCCTGTCTCTTTGATGATTCTTGTTGTTGTTGGCGTTGTTAACTTGTTTTGCTAAATTCGCCATCTGTTCAGTCAAAGCAATTAAAGCAGCGGTAAAAGCTACAATAATTCCCTCAAGACCTGCTCTGGTTAGCATTTGATCCGCCATGGTTGTCAAGTTACGAAAAGAACAAGAGAAAACATGCTCTGATGCCAACTGACGCAGTCAGAAGCCCTAGGGAATAGCTAGTGCTAAACCTAAAATAAAAATACAGGATTGCAAGCACAAAATCTGTTAGATAAGCTCTGGAATCCACCAAAAAGAGAAAAGAAAACTCTGAATTTTATTAAAATGAAAGATAATCATGGCCACCCCAAAGATCTTTAAATACTGAAAACAAAGAAATTCTAATTGAATTAAAGAGACCCTAATGGGCTTTTAATCTAAAACAAAAAAAAAACTTAAAATTTCTTAAATATTAAAACAGAAAATTACTTAAATATTAAAACTAAAATTGCTTAAATATTAAAATACTTTGACGCATGATTTCTTCTTTGATACGTGCAACCAACCTTCCTACATCAAACTTAGCCATCACTCAGAGAGATAAACTTTGACATATTGATCTCCTAAGACAAAAATTTGATCATCACTTCAGAGGAAAACTTCATCTTATAGTGTTGTCATAATTAAAATCATATAGGCCAACTGATTGCTGCAATCATTATACCTGCAAACACATAGCTCAACAATATAAAAACAAGCTTCCCTTTTTGGTTGAGACATATAACCAAAAGAAAAAGAACATTCTATTAAATGTCGTTTCTTTTTTAATAATTAATCCTTAATTAGATTGTAAATCATACACTTATCATATTGAATAACAATTGCCAATCCTATATATTGCAGTTGGCCAATACTCAACAGATTGTTCCTTATTTCTGGAACATAAAACACCTCTATAACCGAATACACAACACTATTTACTAGTAACCTTACATTCCCCTTGCCTCTTACTTACATATTTGAATTTTATCTTTATTTTATGGTCAATGTGAAGCTTTCATTTAGATAACTTGCACATTGTTGCATCCCGAATCAAGAAACCACATACCATGTTTTATGGATTTATTGTGCTCCACATATGACATTAGCAACATTTCTTCATTATCATCAAAGTCAACACAATTAGCTTCTTTGACTAAACTAGAACACTCATTTTGAAAGTGTTCAAGCTTGTAGCATTTGAAGCACTCAACAATGAATTTGTCGAAAACTTGACGCCTTCTGCCTCCGCCTTTTCCACTAAATGATCCCCGACCACAACCTTTTCCTCCTTTGATTTATTCTCATGAGTTACTTCCATGACTTGTTACTCCTTATCATGCTTATGAAGCTTCTCCTCGTGAACAATTTATGAACTTTGCGGCTCATCGATGGTTAAAGAAAAAATATATCGACTCAATAGAGCAACCTATATAACTAAATTTATTTGCTAAGGATCTAAGTATTTTCTCCCCAATTGTAGTATCTACCAATCGTTGACCATACACCCTCATTTTATTAGCCATAAGCATGACTCTAGAAAAATAATTAGAAATATTTTCATCAGTTTTCATTTCCAAAGTTTCAAACTCTTTGTGAAGAGCTCCATGATTTAACCGCTTTACTCTTGCATTTCATTCATATTTTTTCTTCAGAGTCCCAAATTTAGGTTGAGGTGCCTTTTTTAAGTATTGTCTCTAGAATGGTACGATTAGAGATAACAATGAGTAGGATATGAGTTGGGTACCATAGGACCCGTAACTATGTCCGCACTTTGAAAAAATTTCTGTACGCAAGTTTATATCCGTGTGGACACCGACATTTATACTCATGTGTGTATTTTATGGGTAGTTATTCACTCATATCTCATATACGTTTACTCGTATTTCTAATAAAAGATTATCGATCAATTACAATTTTTCATGTCATTTTTAATTTTTAACATTAATAAAATTAAAAAATATTATTGTTGCATTAAGAAATAAATATTTATATTAAAATGCGTACAAATTTAACTTTAATAGTGATGTATTTAATAAAATTGATAAAAATACATATTTATATAATAATAAAAATGAAAATATATAAATATTTATATAGTACAGGTATCGGGCAGGGTGGGTACTAAGGTATCCTTACTCGCGTCCATATCCGTTTATTTTAATGGATAATTTTCTGTGTCCATATCCATGTTCATTTTGTAGGTTTTTACACTATTTATTATGGGTAATTTTTATAGATATATGTTTGAGATGAGTTAAATTGCCATCCCTAAATACGATCAATCCCATGGAATAAATAATTTTTGACATTCACGTCCTTCAACTTCAACTCTTCTGACCTTTTTCTTTCTGTCTCTGTTGTCACAGTCTGTGTTGGTTTTGCATAACCAGTCTCTACTAAGCTCCAATCTTCTTAATGACCATCGAAGAGGAGAATTGTAGACTGCACAAAAATTTTCTAAAAGAAATAACAACCACTAAAACCACATACAAGTTTAATTAGAATGTAACAAATACTAACAAGAATGAGTCAAATAACAACCTGACAAAAAAATCTATGTGTATTTAAACTTTGCCTATTAATAAAACTATTTCTTAGTTTGTGTATACAGCCATAAAAGCTATGTATGTATATAAAAACATACTACTGGTAATTACATATAGGCTAATTGTGGTTTTAACTGATATGCATAGGTAATGAGGTTGTAAGTTATGAAAAGCCACGACCCAACTTAGGGATTCATCGTTTCGTGTTTGTATTATTACGTCAACGGTGTAGACAAATAGTCTATGCTCCGGGATGGCGACAGAACTTTAATACAAGAGAATTCATTGAACTTTACAATCTTGAATTGCCGGTTGCTGCTGTGTTCTTCAATTGTCAAAGGGAAGCTGGCTCTGGAGGAAGAACCTTTACATAAATTAGCTTTATTATATGAATTTATAATTTTAATGCAAGCTTAGTTTGTAAATACTCGAGAAGCTTAGTTGGTAAATACTCCAGATTATGCAGAGTCATACCAGTTTGGAAACGTTGAAAAATCAAGACGAAGTATTTTCGGTTGTGCTTGCATTGTATTTGCATTACAACATGTCATCTTTTTTCTCAAACTCTGGTGAATGTGAAGCACTTGAATTCAAGGTATTGCTTTTGGCCTGGAGGTTAACTTGGAACATGGAATGCATCAGGAGATAAAGTAAATTTATCAACTGCTCTGGTAATGGTATTATATCTCAGCTTGTGTAATGTCTTGTTTGGAGTATTTGTGAGTTGGGATGCTGGTTTTTTGTAGTGGCTTTGGTTGTTTTTCTAGTTTCTTATTTTTGCATGCTTCAATGTGTATGCATGCAGTCTCAACCAGAATATGAACTAGTGTACTCATTAACTTAGTGTGACTTGTGCTTGGGTGATTATTTTACATTTATAGATTATTTTGGTTTTTTAAAAATAAAATCACTTGCTTAAAGAATTTTAGATAAAGTGAAACGTATAATTAAATAAGGGGCATAGAAATAACTCCAAATAGTTAATACACTTTTTAGAAAGTATTTTTCTTACATAGTAGGAGAGAGAGAGAGAGAATCTTATTTAACATCTCATGTAGAATTTGGGCTCACTCCAATGGAATATGGATGTGCAGAAACAAAACTTATAAGAATTAAACAGAAGGTAAAAGTAACCAACTTTTTCTTTATAAACAAGATTCATTTCAATAAGTACAAACTGGTACTCCAATTCAATAGTACACTAAAGGCAAATTAAAAAAGTTGCCAAGCTGCTATGTTTGGTATCAACGGAAGTGAGGAAAAAGATAAATGAGGGTATGTATCAATGAAGGCGAGGGAAAAGATAGATGATAGAGGGGAAGTTTATAAGGAATTGTTCCTTCCCTTCTTTGGTTCTCTTTCAAAAGGGAAGGATAGAAAGTTTATTGTGGAGTCCGCTTAATAAAAAACTTTCTATTGTTTTTTTTTTTAAAGAAAGTGACTTTTTGAAAGAAAGTGGCATGATTGAGCATTTGTGTAGAAATTGCATATTCACCAATACATTAGTTTTTATTATTAGTTGGTTTTATGATCACCACATTTCATCCCTTAAATAATTATTAAAATTTTATATTAAATTAATAGGTATAAAATATATTGTTAGTATTTTGAGTTTAAAAGTATTCAATAAATAAACTCTAATTATTTGATATAAATTTATTAAATAAATAGAATATTTTATACAAAATATTGACGTAATTGATTTTATTTGCATGCAATATGTATTTATTTAAAGTGATAAAAACGGAGTATTATTTAATAATAATTTTAAAAAAGAACTAAAGTAACTCAAGTATTTTTATTTAAGTTAAAATAAAGTTACTCTTTTCATTTTAAATATACTTGTTTTTCTTTCCTTCGACTTTCTATTCATTTTCACTCAAAACAAACAATTAACAATTCATACTTTTCACTAAGAAAATTCAAGATTCATCAAAAGACAAAAGTTACTCAAGGTTTGGTCTTGATTCATCAAGAAAACTCAAGATTCATTAAAAGACAAAAGTTATCAAATTATGGTTTTTTTAAGGAGAAGTCAACTGAATTTTGATCAAATATAACTTTCACATGCTTCATCAGAAATTCCTCAACCAAAATCTATCTTGAAGAAAATTTAGTTCTCTACAACTTTGTCTCTCTAAGCTCAAATCTAAAAAAAAATTCATTTGAGAGATATGAGTCAAAACATTACAGGTCATTTTAAAAGTAAACAAAAAGACATATTTTATCAAAGTAATTTACATTAAGTTAAAGAATTCAAATATAAAAGTGACCAACATGAGAGTTGTAGGGGATATCTTGAGCTTTCCAAAAAGTCCAAGATCACCTTCATATGACAAAATTTGAGAGAGTTATGATTGGTGCAAGTTGAGTAATTTTGAGAAAAATGCATGAAATCACAATTGAGCAATTTTGAACTTTTAGGCTAATGGGCCTAACTTTTAAAGTTTAAACATGTTTATGACATGTTTAGGGACCCCTAAGTCCATTCATGCATTATCTTTTATTTTTATTTCATTTATTTTAATTTTTATTCATTTAAAAGCAAAATAAATCAAATAAAATAGCAAATGATGGACCAAGGCATGTAGGCTTTTGTTTTGGATCATTTTGAAGCACAAGATAATATATACAACTTGCCAAAACCGTGTTTCCTCAATATGGAAAGAGAATTTCATTTGCTTTAGAAGGTTTTTAATTGATTTTGGCAAAAATCTTCAAACTTGAAAGCTTGAAAACATGTTTTATCATGTTTGATTCACACTTAACTCCTCATGATTACCATTCATTTTTGTTGACTTAATATGATGCTTATAAATTGAGGACATCATCAGTGAAGAGAAGACACAGATTGGCTGCCATAGAAACAAGTTCTCAAACACAAAATTTTCAAAGAATAGGTGCAAATCGTATCCCAGTTTTCCAGCCATTCTCAACTGAACCGAAGCCTCGAATCATCATCTTGACATCCCAGGAACCTCCTCAAGTCTATAACCACACTCAACCGTGTCCAGAACGCCTCCCCTCAATCATACCAGTGATAAAGATTTTCTAATTTTAAATTTCTTAATCCTTATGTTATTAATAAGTTTTATATGTCCAGATGTGTTAAACAATAAACCTAGAACAAGTTAGAACCAAGCGTGTGAAGAGAAGGGATGGGGTTCGAACCCCAGCGATGCCAAAACCCTTTTTGCTTTACTTTCTTCATTTTCTATTTCTCTTTATTAGTTATTTTATTACTAATTAACTTTTTTTATCAAAACTTATACATAAAAAAATCAGAAAGAAGCCATATAATAAAATCAACAAAAAAAAAAAAGTTTTAGAGTGTTAATTAATTAATTAATTTTTTGAACAATTAGATTTTAGGATTTTTATTAATTAAAATCAATTAGAATTAGAATTTTAATTGTTATTAATTAACACTTAAATTATTTTCATGAAAACACCAAAAATATGAACTTAGATTTTTAGGGCATTTAAACTTTTTTTCCAACATTTTCTTATTCTTTTTGCTATTTATTTTCTTAGACAATTGTATAGGTCGCATAATTTTATGTAATAGTTTAGATTTACATCCCCGCATTTTTCTAATTATGCAAGTCTCCCAAAGTTCTGTAATAGCGTAGATTTACATTCTCGCTTTATCTTTTGCCTTTATATGTTTGTATATATTTAACTGCTAGTAAATAGGCTTGTATGATAAGAATAAAATCAAGCATAAATAACCTTAATTTTTAAAATATTATAAATGAAACCAATACACTTTTCACACTTCACCTCCAGGGTAACCTCTCTTTGTTGCCTTGCGATACTAATGGTCACGTCCCACGAAAACGAGAATACTTTAGCAAAGACCCACGGTTAAACAATATCATCACGATCCCTTTCAAATAAAGATCATAATCCCTCGATGACCCTTCGAATTTCCTATAAAATGATCTAGTCCCTTCAATGACCCAACGAGAAAAATGATGATAGTCTCTTTGAATTGCTAAAAGTATCCTTACATGTTGCCTTCTATGACCATACGACGACCCTACGCCTGTCCCTTCACATCCAATAGATAGGGCTACCTACCAACTAATGGTGTGGATAGTACTATCTCTGACGGAGAAGGAAAATAAAAAGAACGACCTTTATTGGGTAAGACTCAACAAATTGCTTGCTCATAACAGTTTCAAACAAACAAATTTATTTTTACACCTCACATTTCAAAACAAATATTTTCAAAAAAACACTTTGTATACATTCTTGAGGACTGATACAAGAATTATTATAAAGTATGCCTCACAATTGGCATTCAAAATATTTTCAAATCACACACACAAAACAAATTTAAAGTGAGCTAAGCAATTAAGAGCCCGTGGATAACTACGGATGAAAAGGGTGCTAACACCTTTCCTTTTCATAACTTACCCCCTGAACTCAAAATCCATCAAAGGTCTTTCCCGTTCTTTTCACCTTTCCTCATTGGATAAAAGAAAAGTCGGTGGTGACTCTTGCTATCCACAACATTTGCGATAAAATGCTAAACAAGTCAGTTTTCCAACTGTATTATAGAAAGGCATGCACCTACTAAAGGTATAAAAGAGGTCTATCTATCAATCAAGACACCACCATAACATATGAGGAATTGGTCGCTCTATTCATGAAGAATATGGATTTGTCATGTAATAACAGCGAGCGACATCTAGGGATTTTGAAGCTTAGTAATTTGATGTATCATGCTAGCTATTTGTTTTGATGTTTTGATGATTAAGGTGAAGAATTTGATTCCGCTATTTTAGTGAACATTCTTCCAAGATGGATTTTAATTTAAGGGATTTTTTTTAATGAAGCACCCTACCTTTTTTTACTATTTGTTCTTTGCAGATTGTGTTTGAAATTTTATGTTAGACCTTTAATGGAAGATCTTTTCCTACCAAAGAGGAAATTTTACGTTGTACCTTCATTGAAATATCCTTGCTTCCAAATGAGGAAATATTATGTTGGATCTTAAATAAAGGATCATTTCCACCCTAAGAGACAATTTTATGTGGGACCTTCAATGAAGGATACTTGCCTCTCTATGAGGCAATCTTACACTGGACCTCCAATGAAGTATCCTTGCCACCCTAAGAGGAAATCATATGATGGACCTTATGTTTGAACAAGTATGGTTCTACTTCTTAATCCATAAGTTTTTACGATAATAAAGTATATAAAACAATTTTGTACACTGATGTTTCATTTAGTATGCATAATCTGAGTGCAAAATTTGAACTATATATGCTGATTCTGAAGAATATTTTCTGAAGAAAGTCAAGTTCTGAATAAACTAAAATCTAAAGATAATTATCACTCTGAAGATTGAGACTCTGATCAAGCA